GAAACCGGGAGCGAAACCGGGAATGAAACCGGGAATGGGGTGCGAGGAGCTGGGAACCGGGAGCACCGGGAGCCGCTGCTCCTGCGCTGCGTTATGGGGCAGGGCTGGGGGGCGGCACAGCCCCGGGGCGGGGCGGGGTTCGGGGGGGCCGCCCCCTGCCCGSGCAGCCCCCAGCCCCAGCTGTGTTAGCCCAGGAGGGCTCAAAGCTCGTTTTCCCGTGTGGAGAAGGGCGGGACCATCATCATCCTCCCTCCCTGGGTGTCACAGAGCCGCGGAATGGTTTGGGTGGGAAGGGACCTCAAGGACAATCCAGTGTCATCCCTTGGCGCTGGCGGGGACACTTTCCACTGCCCCAGGGTGCTCCAGCCTGGCCTGGGACACTTCCAGGGGGTTTTAATTGGGAATTCGGTGATGAGAGCACCCCGGGGCGCACAGGGAGCTGTGCCGCACCCCGAACAGACCCCAGGGGAGGACGGGGGTCCTGGCTGTCCCCGTGCAGAGGGACAGGGGAAGGGACAGGTCCCTCCCAGGCCGCTGATAAGAACAAATCGCAGATAAGAGCAAAGCCCATCTCCGTGCGGGCGGGCCGGCACGAAGGGCGGGGAGCGCGATAAGAACACCTGGAGCGGGACAAAGGCCTCGGCCAACAGCCCCCAATAAACCGGGACACCTCCCAGGGGACAGGGAGGGGCCATCGAGCCCTGGGGGGAGYCCTGACCTTCCCCAGAGCAGGGCAGGACCCTGCCACCCCCGGGGACACCACAGGAGAATTGAGGGGTCCGGGGATCCCTTCCCGCACCCTGGGATTGGAGAAACCCCCTCCCCATGCCCGGGGGTCGCAGCACAGAGCACACGCGGCAGTGTGTGTATATATTACATTTATAGAGGATCTGGTGGAATTTCTCGGAGCTCTGCGCGATCAGTGAACAAGCGGTGGAACCCCCCGCAGCTCAAGCGACCCCCCCTCCCCAATGTCCCCTCGGTGTCCCCCAGGCTGAGAACTCACCCAGCTCATCACGCAGACCCGCGGAGGGGTGAAGATGAGCGGCTGCAGCGTCTCCCCCTTCCCCTCAAAATAAAATCCCATCCACCCCCAGCCTGGCAGTGCCCTCAGCCCCAACCCCAGCGGGGTGGCACAGCCCTGGGGACGCGGGGGATGCTGGCGGTGACCCCACCGGCCGGGGCTCAGGATCGGGGGGACACCGGGCGGGGCACGGGCCCTCCCGGGGGTCCCTGGTAGCGCAGCCGCGCGTGTTTCTCGCAGAACAGCTCGTCCCCCACCCAGAAGTGGCCGCGCATCTTCAGGCTGAGGCCGCAGTCGGCGCAGGTGTAGCAGGAAGGGTGGCGGTAGCGGCCGTCCTGGATCCGCACCGCCTGTGTCCTGCGGAGCGTGGGGACAGGGGGTCAGCAGCCGGTGTGTCCCCARGGTCCCCTCCCAGCCAGGGTCAGCCCCACAGCAATGGCAGGGGTGGATTCTGCCCTGGGATCACCCAGACCCCGCTCACACCCCGGGACCACCCCTCTTTTTCCCCCGTGGGAGCGACGCAGGGATGGATCCTGCCCCGGAACCCCCAGCCCCATTTCACCCGGGATCACCCCCATTTTAACCCTGCCGGGAGCGATGGCAGGGATGGATCCTTTCCCAGGAACCCCCAGCCCCACTTCACCCAGGGTCAGCCCCACAGCGGCCCCGGAGCGATGGCAGGGATGGATCCTACCCTGGGAGCACCCAGACCCCGCTCACACCCCGGGACTACCCCCGATTTTAGCCCCGCGGGAACAATCCTTTCCCGGGACCCCCAGCCCCATTTCACCCCGGGACCACCCCCTTTTTGCCCCGCGGGAGCGATGGTAGGGATGGATCCTTTCCCGGGACCCCCAGCCCCATTTCACCCCGGGACCACTCCCATTTTAACCTTGCCGGGAGTGACAGCAGGGACAGGTCCCGCCCTGGCGCCTGCCCCACCCGTTTTATCCCCGCCGGGAGCAATGACAGGGACAGGCCCTGCCCCGGGACAGCCTCAGCCCTGACAGCAGCTCCTTTTGTGCTCGGCCGGGAGGGGCGACAGGAACAGATCCCCAGCCCCGCCCCGGGACCCTCCCCAAGCCCCCCAGCCCCACTCACGCGATGCTGCTCCCGCATTTCTCACAGACGTGCAGCTTCTGCACCCCGGCCACGGGTCTGCGGGCTCCGGCCGAGAGCCGGCTGGGGAACGGGGCTGCGGGACCGCCTGCGGGGACACGAGGCCATCACAGGGTCCTGCCACCCTCCTGCCACCCCCTCAGCGCCCCTCGCGTCCCTCTCACCTCCTTCCTCATCCTCCAGAGCCTCCTGGAGCAGGCGGAAGGTGCTGGATTGCCGCGGGGCCGCCCGCAGCTCCCGGTTCTCCTGCAGCATCTTGTAAACCTCCGAGTCCTCCTCCAGGCGCCGCATGGCCGGCTCCGAGCCCTGGCTGCGGGGTCGCACCCGAGGGGTTTTTTTTGGGGTTCCCAGCACCCCAATTCCTGGATCCACCCGGCTGCGCCCCGTCCGTCCCCTGCTCCCTCCACCCCGGGAGCTGCCCCAGCGTGCCCGGCCCTCCCACGGCCCCACCTGGCTACAGGTGAGTTAACCCTTTCCACGGGCTCCCTCAGCACCCACGGGTGACAAACGGGCTGGGGACACGGGGCGGGGGGTTTCGCTGTCGCCGTGTCCCCCTCCCCGCAGCCCCCGGCCCGCTCCGTACCTGTGGCCGGTGTTTGGGGAGGGGGAGGGGAGGCGCCGCTCCCCGGGCGTGTCCCGGGGGTCCTGGGGGGCTCCGAGCCCCGGTGAGGGTGGGCAGGGGGGTGGGGGCAGGGGGGTTCCCTGGGAGCTGTTCTGGCGGCTCAGGCGTCCTCGCTCCTGCCAGGGGGAGAAGTGATGGATGTTCTGTCCCAAAACTGCCTGACGGTGCCCACAGACCCTCCCTGAACCCCCAGACACCCCAAGGACACCCAGACCAGGCCCAAGGACCTTTCCCAAACCCAGAGGGATGCAGGGATGCTCCAGGGGGCAGCTGCTTCTCCTTCCCGCCCAGGCTGGGCTCAGCCGGACCCCCAGAGGGGCCAGGGCAGCACCCGCACCCCAAAACCCCGCGCCTGCTCCCATCCCCTCCCCACCATCTGCTCCCGCTTAGCGAGGCCGGCAGGAGGAACCCTGGATAAGTGGAAGCCGATGTTCCCGGGAGCAGCTGCCCCGCAGATGGGGATGAACCCTGGCGGGACCCCGGGGTGGGCGCGGGGAGCCGTGGAGGGGGAGAGGGGCAGCGCCGGGGCTCTGTGGGGTCACGGGGGGCAGGGTGGGCTCTGTGGAGGGGGAGAGGGGCAGCGCCGGGGCTCTGTGGGGTCACGGGGATGAGAAAAAATCAGGC